GGATTGCTTGAGCTCAGGAGTTGGAGACCAGCCTGAGCAAGAGAGAGATACTGTCTCTAAAAAATAGCTGGGCCCTGTGGTGGGCACTGGTCGTCCCAATTACTTGAGAGGCTGAGGCAAGAGAATTGCTTAAGCCCAAGAGTTTGAGGTTGCTGTGAGCTGTGATGCTACAGTACTCTATTGAGGGTGACACAGTGAAACTCTGTCTCAAAAAAAGTGAAGATAAAAAGATAAAATTAAATTTTAATATTTCATTTAACCCAATATATAAAAAAATATCATTTCAACATGTGATCAATATAAAAATTGAGATATTTTACATTTTAGTTTTTTTGTGGTACATCTTCACAATACACTCAGGCCATACCAAATTCATAAAATGGCCAGGCACAGTGGCTTACACTTATAATCCTAGCACTCTGGGAGGCCAAGGCCAATGGACTGCTTGAGCTCAGGAGTTGGAGACCAGCATGAACAAGAGAGAGATCATGTCTCTAAAAAATAGCCAGGACTTGTGGAAGGCACCTGTAGTCCCAGCTACTTGGGAGGCTAAGGCAAGAGGATTGCTTGAGCCCAAGAGTTTGAAGTTGCTGTGAGCTATGATACCATGGCATTCTACCCAGGGCAACAAAGTGAGACTCTGTCTCAAAAAAATAATAAAATAAATAAATAGTAGTCTACAGTAGTGAAAAGGAAAAAACAACAATCATACACAATGAATGTCAATTTTGATGGTCAAGCAAAGGAAGAAAATTGTAGAAAACTCAGGGTATGATTAATTTTATATAATGTTAAAACAAGCAGATACACTCAAATTTTAAAGAAGAGCAAGGGAAGAGTTATCAGAAAAGTCAGGACAATGGTTAACTTTGGAGGGTGTGGGTGCAATCAGGGGAAGGGGCTCATGGTGGGTTCTAAGGTAATGGCAATGTTCTGCTTTTTAAGCTAAACAAAGGGTATATGGATGTTCTCGTTATTCTGTTAATGAGAATAATATGTAAATGGTACATATTTTTATGTACTCTCTGCATGATACATTTCAAAATAAAATAATTTTTTAAAGCAATAAAGTTTCCACGTGTGTATGCGTGTATATATATGTATGTGGGTGTTTGTGTGTGTATTTCATGAAGAAATACAATAAAAATCCTTGTGGGAGAATGTCAGTAAGCACTTCACTTGGCTTAGTAAGTTCTCTCATATGGCTGGCTGCCTGTGAGAAGAACTTCAATAAACTGAGTTTGCCACAGAGTCCAGATCTTACACATATACTTTCTACTAAATATAGCGTGAGAAGTATTATCACATACCTTATTAATCTATCAATTGAACTATCCTTTCTCAGGCTGCCCGTCTTTCATTTCACTTGGTAAAAGAGAAATAGATTTTTAATATTTAAAAGGTAAAAATCTAGCTGAAACATTTTCTTTTAAAAATTTATTTTATTTTTATTTTGAGACAGAGTCTCACTTTGTTGGCCTCGGTAGAGTCCTATGGCACCGTAGCTCACAGCAACCTCAAAGTCTTGGGTGCAAGTGATCCTCTTACCTCAGCCTCCTGAGTAGCTGGGACAATAGGTGCCCACCACAGCTCTTAGCTATTTTTAGAGATGGGGTTTTGCTCTTGCTCAGGCTGGTCTCGAACTCCTAAGCTCAGGCAATCCACCTGCCTCAGACTCCCAACGTGCTAGGATTATAGGCATGAGCAATCACACCCGGCCCAATATTCTTTTATTAACTTTTCTTTTTTAAATCTTTCCGTTCAGCACCTGTGGCTCAAGCAGCTATGGTGCCAGCCACATACACCTGAGCTGGCAGGTTCAAATCCAGCCCAGGCCCACCAAACAACAATGACGGCTGCAACCAAAAAAAATAGCCAGGCGATGTGGTGGGCGTTGTGGTGGTAGTCCCAGCTACTTGGGAGGCGGAGGCAGGAGAATCGCTTGAGCCCAGGAGTTGGAGGTTGCTGTGAGCTGTGATGCCACAGCACTCTACCCAGGGCGATAGTTTGAGGCTCTGTCTCAAAAAAACAAACAAACAAAAAAAACCTTTCTATGTTAGCTATAACTTCTTTGAGCAGAATCAGAAGAAAAACATTGCACCAAAGTCTAAAGCCATTTTCATGTCTGTCATTGTGAAAACACTAAAAACGAAAAAAAGAGTTTGGTGATATTATTTATATTAATTAAATTAAAACTAGAACCTCTCTTAATTGTATTACATGTAACACAGAGTTAAAAAATAAGAAGGAAACATCGGAAGTTACCTAGTACAGTCATCTATCTTTAATAGGACCCAAATTATCTCTCTCTCTCTTTTTTTTTTGTAGAGACAGAGTCTCACTTTATTGCCCTTGGTAGAGTACCCTGGTGTCACACACCTCACAGCAACCTTCAACTCCTGGGCTTTGATGATTCTCTTGCCTCAGCCTCCCAAGTAGCTGGGACTACAGGCACTTGTCACAACGCCCGGCTATTTTTTTTGTTGCAGTTTGGCTGGGGCCAGGTTTGAACCTGCCACCCTCGGTGCCCTGCCCACTGAGCCACTGACACCACTCGACTCAAATTATCTCAAGCAAACAAGTTATTCTAATTTTAAAATATTTTCCCATTAAACAATCTGAACTTTTTGTGTCTAAGGCAGAACCCTTTCTTTTTTTTTTTCCCAGAATATTAGGGGGTAAATGTTACATGCTTTGTTTTTTGTACAAATTGAGTCAGGGTTATAAGTATGTCCCAACTCAGAACCTTTTAATACAATGTTAGCATACAGCAAACGTTATCCAGACATCAGCCTGTTAAGGATGTGGATTTACTGAGGGCATAAGGAGATCCTAGCAAGTATCCAATCCTAAGTCTCTATTGGTGGAATAAGAGCCCTGCCTCTTTGGATGCAATGGCTACAAATCCCTGGCTTTCCCCAATGATCTAGCCCCAGAGCTTGTCTCTCACAGTGTTTTCACTCTACTTTAGGTTCATAAACTTTATCTTGCCCAAACACCCCTCACCCCATTACCCAATCACCAAGAGCTGATTTATACTTCCAATGAGTATTAATACTCAGAATAATTTTTTTTTTTGAGACAGAGCCTCAAGCTATATCACCTTGGGTAGAGTGCCTTGGCGTCACAGCTCACAGCAACCTCAAACTCCTGGGCTTAAGGAGCCTCAGCCTCCCGAGTAGCTGGGACTACAGGTGCCCGCCACAATGCCTGGCTATTTTTTTTTGTTGTTGTTGTTGTTGTTGTAGTTGTCATTGTTTTAGCAGGCCCGGGTTGGATTCAAACCTGCCAACTCTGGTGTGTGTGGCTGGCGCCTTAGTTGCTTGAGTTACAGACACCACCAGAATAATGTTTTAAATCCTAAAATTATGTAACTTATAAATGAAAGGAAAAAAACTTCAAATTTTCTAAATTAATGGGAACCTTTAATAAAAGAAATATACTAGAAAATCTTTTTTTCCCTAGTCGTCCTGGCCAATTTCATCTAATAAAGTATAGAAGACTATACATTCTTGAAGACTATACATTTCTAGATTAAAACTTCTAGACATCAGGGACTAGTTTTGTTTCAGCTTTTATATCTGGCATCTTTCATGTGAGATGGCCCATATAGGCACTGAAACAAGTCAACAGTGTTTAACCAAAGCAATGGAGGATCACTAAAGCTTTGCCTTACATGACTGTTGCATTCCTCTTCTTCCTCATCACAGTCTAGACCCTCATGGGCAATCTCAGTAGTGCTATTCTCCTGAAAGAGGTTGTCCTCCAAATCAGATACTCTGGCAGCCTCAGTCGTGACTTTTACTTTCATGCTATGAAAGCCAGTGGAGACCAAGCCCACTTGCAGGTTGACAGGCTCCCCATCAAACAGCAGGAAGTGTGAATTTACCCCTTCTTTGAACCCAGGGGGTTGGTAATCATTTGGTGTCACTGGAAAATGAAAAAGGCAAAAGGCCATGAAAACTGAGTTTCAATAGATCAGGTCTGATTAATCTTTCATGTGTAGCAACAGACAACTTTTTCAGATGCTTGCAAAATTCTTCTACTAATATAAAACATTAGTTTGGCACTGAAGAAAAAGTTTGATTAAAGGTCTCCACTTACCTGCATTATAGTAGTGGAGTTTCATAGTAAGTACAACATCATTGGGAAGAGGTCCAAGGTTCTGCATCAGTACATACAATTTACGGATCAGTAGAACACTGGCTTTCTTAACATCTTCACTGTTTGTCCCACTTTCAAAGCTTGTGGTGCTGCTGTAACCACATAGAAAAACAGCATACTTCTTAATCATATACAACATTGACAATCTATTTGAAAAGGAACAAAATTTTTGACTATATGATAAATAAATACAAATTAAATATCAGGATATTTTGAGACTATTTTTAGAATGTAAATTAGAACAGTTGTACTTTTTACAATGTATATAGAAAAGATTTCTCTTAAGTAAAGACCCATAAGTCATTTATGACCTTTTTTTTAAGTTGATTTACAAATAACCACATGCCATAGTAGTGAGAACGATGGATTTGGTTAAGCGATCTGGTACCTAATATTGGCTCTGCTGCTAATTAGCTAACTGACCTCAGTCAAATCACTTAGACACATTCTAGATCAGTTAGCTCAATTTGTGAGATGAGCTTACAGACATTTCTACAGCTCTCCAGGCATAAAATCAAAATCCAGCTCTGGGCCTTTCTACCATCTGATTATTCTTCAAAGGTATCCCCTCCTCACTCTTGTCATGGATTACCATACTAATTTGATTATTCAAGGGTAGTATGCCCAATGCCTTTCATGACCAATCATACCTTCACCTGCAACTACTACCCAGTTTTCTCTAATCCACATGTATTTGCATGTGCTGTTTACTTTGCTTGTATTGTGCTCTTCTACTTCTCTTCCTGACTCTCTCAAATTCATCCTTTAATACCTAGCTCAGATGCCATCTGTTCAAGGAAGTCTCTCCCCAATAATCCTCTCACCTTGGCCTCAGAGTAATTGTCTCTCTCTAGACTATTAAGTGGCTATATCATTCACCTGCACGGTACAGAGTTTGGTGTCCAGCAATTCCATAAACAATTATTGAATTAATGAATGAATGGAGAAGTTGGACTAAATTATTTTCTAATTCAAAACCTTTTTCATTTTTCCCCAAAGTTTTCTTCCCTAATTTGCTTCACATATGTGAGTAGTTTCTGGGGAGGACTACTAAAACAGTATATTTTCCCACTGTGTCGCCCAAAGTAAGCATTCAATAAATCACCTAGGAAAAATAATCCTATGTAATCAAGCCGTTGGTTTTCCCCCAAACTCATCTTTGGAGGCAGTGTGAATTCATAAAGCAAACATTTATTAAGTGAATATATTAGCTCCTTTTCCAATTTTTGACAACTTAAAGTTTTGTCTATAAGGAGTTAACCAATTTGAAAATAGGTAACCAGAGTCTTGTAACTCCTGGGATCCTCTGGGATGCATCAGTGAAATCATATTCAGGACTCCCATTTAAGCAAATGCCAACCTTTGGTTTTTAGGAAATTAGTAATCTGCACTACCTTCTCTCCTCCTTAGTATGTAAAAGATTCCACCATTTCTGTTTTGCTGCTTACCTCTTGGCATATGTGCCTTCAAAACAAAAGAGATTAATCCAGTCATCAGTAGTAATTATATTTGAGTTTTGGAGAGTAAAAGCCTACTGTTTTATGTGAGACAAAAATGTATAAGAAGTGCTGTATAAGCTATAAACATACACTTGTATGTTAGCTAATGATGAATAATATTTTAATTCCCATTTTTGGAAGTGACTTTCTCTTCAGATCTTAGTGTTGTCTGTAGGTTTTACAAATGAGAAGTGGATCTTGGAAAGAAATCCTCATGCTCATAGTAAATGATGATAATTAGGCAGAGGCCAGGCGCAGTGGTTCACACCTGTAGTCCTAGCATTCTGGGATGCTGAGGCAGGTAGATTGCCTGAGCTCACCAGTTCAAGATCAGCCTGAGCCAGAGCAAGACCTTGTCTCTAAAAATAGCTGGATGTTCTGGCTGGTGGGCACCTATAGTCCCAGCTACTTGGGAGGCTATGACAAGAGAATGGCTTAATCCCAAGAGTTTGAGGTTGCTGTGAGCTGTGACAAAAGGGCACTCTACCAAGGGTGACAAAGTGATATAGGTAGATAGATAGACAGAATTAGGGCACATTTCTTTTCAGAGTCATTCCTTTCAGGGACACTCATCCCCCTTGTCTTAAACTATCCAGGGCTTCTCACTATCCCTGCACCTTTCCCTACTATGATATCTCATCAACAATACTCAGCTCTCTATGCCTCCTGGTTGATCTGAATCCTAAAGGTACTGGGAGAAAAATAAATGATGCTCTTCAATAAAACATCTCCATCTGCACAAGGAACGTTGTCTTTGCTATTGAACCCATTAGTATATCTAAAACATGAGTTTTAGACTTAATAAGAAAAGGCAATGCTTTCCACTCTTTTCCATACAGGCACACACATAGAAAATGTTATTCGTATGACATTCTAGAGTAAACAGATGAGAATATTTGTGTATGTAGGCAAACGGTGCAGGGGCTTTATCTACCCCAGGCCCACTCTGGCTATATTAAGGGTGGAGACAATCAATATCTTGGCATAGCAATGAGAAACTTCAGATTAATGACTAAACAGAGCCTTATAGAGTTCTTCAATAACTACCACTCAGACAGCCTTATTAATAGAATTTCTACTGCTATGCTGCCCAACATTGTCTCTATTCCCACTAACCTAGTCTATGGATTTCAGAAATTTAAACAATTACTATAGCCTCTTTTTATATATAGTAGGGTTCTTATTATATAGTAGGGTTTGTGGGGAAATTACAAAAGAAGTATAAGACCTTTCTCCAGCCTCAAGAAACTTATGTTTACCTCAATCCTATTTCTCGTGTTTATTAAACAGTTAGATTCTACCTGTCAAAATCCATGATGGCTCCTTCTTTTGTGTATTTGAATTTGAACTGGTATATTTCGGTCACTTTCTAGAAAAACCAAAAGGAATAGAGAAAGAAACTAATTTAGAAAAGAAATCTAGAATCTTACCTGATAATAATCAAGGAACATTTTCTTCATATAACCACTTCCTACATATCGGTTTATTTCACATCATTACATTATCAGCACTAATTTTTCCAAATACAAATACAACTTAGTTTTTCTCTATGCTAAAAATGAGTTAGATGGCAAATATTGTCATTATCATCTTAAAGCTGGGAAAACTAAGGCATAGTGTCAAGCAACCCAACTGTGCAAATGACAGTGGAACCAGTCAAAAAACCATTTGTTCGTGTAACAAATATTTTAGCGAAGGTCTACTTTGTGCTATGCACTGGAATCACAGTGATGAACAGGACAGAAAACATCCCTACTTTTTTTGGAATATATAGTCTGGTTGGGGAGATAGTCAATAAATAAGTAAACAAATAAAATAATTTCAGATAGTGTAAGTGCTGTGAATAAGAGGCAACAGATACTGCAATAAAGAATACATGAAGGAGCCTCTAGTCCCAGCTCCTCAGGAGGCTGAGGCAAGAGAATTACCTAAGCCCAAGAAGCTGGCAGTTTCGAACCAGCCTGGGCCAGCTAAAACAACAATGACAACTGCAACAACAAAAAAAATAGCTGAGCATTGTGGCGGGCGCCTGTAGTCCCAGCTACTTGGGAGGCTAAGGCAAGAGAATCACGTAAGCCCAAGAGTTTGAGGTTATTTACACGGCACTCTACCGAGGGTGACAAAGTGACTCTGTCTCTAAAAAAATAAAAAATAAAAAATAAATACATGAAGGAGAGAAGTGGCGATTTGGTTTGGAAGCGCCAAGGAAGGCCTTGCTGAAGAGGTGATGCTTGAGCTGAACCTTAGGAGAGGCCAACAATGTGCACATTTTGGGGCTGAGGTGCCTCAGGCAGCGGAAATAGCAATACAAAAGCTCTAAAGTGGGAAGGGATGCTTCTTCCAAGATCGGAGAGGAGGCTGAAGATGAGTGAGTGAGGACGAGAAGGTAGATGAGGTTGTAGAGGAGCTTGTGGGGCCTTACTGACCATGGTAAGGGGTTTGGATTTTATTCTAAGTAAACCAGAAATCTAGTGAAGAGTTTTAAGCAGGTGAAATCACCCTGGCTTCTTTAAGAGTACAGAGGAGAAGAAGTAGGAGCCATGGGAGTCATTAAGATGTCATGCAGTAATTTGGGAAAGACAAGAAAGTCAACAGAAAAATTAGAAGAATTAGAAAAGGAACACAATATTAAGCCTTATTTTTTCAATCCTACACTAAAAACTAGATACTACAGCTATCTGCTCTCCTTACTGTGAAGAAAGCTAGAAATAAAGAGGGACAAATTTCCTCATATGAGACATACTCCATTTAAAATAAAGTGATTGTCTTAGGCTGGGATTGGTGGCTCATGCTTATAATCCTACTGCTCTGGGAGGGCAAAGTGGGTAGATGGCTTGAGGTCAGGAATTTGAGACCAGCCGAGCAAGAGTGAAACCTGCATTTCTAAAAATAATTAGAAAAAATTAACTGTGCATGGTGGTGCGTGCCTGTAGTCCCTGCTACCTAGGAAGACTAAGGCAGGAGGATCAGAAAGATCACTTGAGCCCAGGAGTTTAAGGTTGCAATGAGGTATGATAATACCATTGCACTCTACCTGGGACATCAGAGGAAGACTCTGTCTCAAAAAATATACACATATCGTCTAACAGTTAAAGCAAATGTTTGTCCCAAATGTGTTATACCATTTGTCCACAAGCAGGAGAAGGTGCTAAAGACAGGTAAAGGGTATGAGCTTAAATCATAAAAAAAAAATGCCCCTCATTCATCTGGTTCAATGTATGATCCTTGACAATGTGAGAATGAGAATGCTGGATTGATCAGAAAAAGTCTCAATGTTCCTATTACCTTCTCTAAGATTTAGTCTCCCAGCTGTGCTGATCTTAAACCTTAACATGTAACTTGGTCACATGTGAACGGGTCCTGGGAAAATTGGCTCATCCAGCAGGAGTGGGGAACCCGCAGCCTTCTGACTTCAAAATTCTTTTTTAAGCACCAAAAGAGGCAAGAAAAGCTTCATATTTTTTTGCTGCACCTCTTTTAATAAAAGGATTTGTTCTGCAAAATTTGGATTCCATCAAAAGGCCACATTTTGCCTTAAGGCAGCAGGGTCCCCATCCCTGAAGAAGGAGACCGAATTATAACGAGGTTAATTTTTTTTTTTTTTTT